AGATATATTTATGATTGTCATTTCTTCCTCTTGTTCCCTTCACAAGGCTAAGGTGGCTTTCTTTGTCTCTTTTAATTAGTTGTTTGTTTGTTTTTGGGTTTTTTTTGAGACAGGGTCTCACTGTGTAGTTGCGACTGACCTGGAACTCACTATGTAGCCCAGGCTGGTCTTGAACTCACAGCGATCCTCCTGTCTCAGCCTCCTGAGTGCTGGGATTAAAGGTGTGCGCCACTATGCCCAGCTTCTCTTAATTAGTTTTGGTTTGAAATCTACTCTGTCTGCAATAAAATAGCTACCCCTGCTTTTTTTCCAGGCTCTGTTGCATGGTGAACTGTTTTGCATCCTTTTATTCTCGGTCTGTGAATTTCTTTGTGGATTAAGTGGGTTTCTTGTGTACAGCATATTGTTGGATTTTGCTTCTTAATCCATTCTGCCAGCCTATTTCTTTTGATTGGTGAATTGAGGCCATTAACATTGATGGTTTTAACTGTTATGTATTGACTTCATTGTCATGTTATTTTCCTGTTTTGATTCTTTTATTTTTATTTATTTACTTTTTTTTTCGTACCAGGGATCGAACTCAGGTCCTTGTACTTGTGAGGCAGGCAGTGGAACCACTAAGCTAAATCCCTGGCCCTCTTTTATTTTTTATTTTTCCCTCTCTCCCTTTAATTTCTTGCCTTGTCTGGTATATTTGCTCTGTTGGCCCTTATGGAGTTGTGGCCTTCGTTGTCTTTTTCTAGGATATTGTTTAGAAGTGTTGGGAGTGCTGGTTTGGTGTTCATGAAGTTTCTCAGGTGTTCTTTGTCATGAAAGTATGTTATTTCCCCATCCATTTTAAAAGATACATTTGTGTAGGTTGGAGGTATTTTCTTTTAGGTCTTGAAATAGGACCTCACTTCCAGGCTCTCCTTGAATAGAGGATTTGTGTTGAAAGGTCTGCTGTGATTCTGATGGGCTTTCCTTTGCATGTGATTTGTTTCTTTTCTCTAATTGATTGTAGTATTTTTTTTTCTTCTTTTGGGTTTCTGGGATCTTGATTATTATATGTCTAGGTGTAGATTTTTTTTTAACATAGCTATTCCCTTATCTCTATATCAAATTCTTCCCCTCTATTTGGGAAATTTTCTGTCATTAATTCTGTGAACAGTTTTTTAATGTCATTTGTACTCTGTCCTGCTACTTTGTGGATTCCCATCAGTCTTATATTATTCTTCTTTGCATCATCTAGGAGTTGTTGGATCGATTTCTTATATCCCTTATTGTATTTAAGAGATCTCTCTTTTCATGGTCACTGACCACAATCCTGTCATCTATATCTGAAATTCTATCTTCACATTCATTCATTCTGCTGCAAATACTTTGTGTAGAGTTTTTAATCTGGATATCTGTTTGAATCTGTTTCATGGGTTCCATTTCTTTCCTATGCTGGGCATTCATGGCTTCTATCATGATCCTGAATTCATGTATTTTTTTATCTGTTTCTGTTCTAGAGTCTCTAATCATGTCTTTCATTCTTCTCACCATCTCTTTGGTTATCTGGGAAATTATTTCTGCTTTGATTTTTTCTAGAGCATCGTTTTTCTGTTTTGTTACTTCCTGTGCTATTGGTTCAGGGTGTCCAGATGGTTGACTGTCAGACTTTTCCACCTCATTTCCCCCAGAGTTTACCCTTGGTAAGGTGGAAGTCTGTTTGTGCCTTATTTATTTATTTATTTTTGTGCCTTATTTAAATGTCCTCTCATTTCTATTTTTGTTATTGGTACCATTCTTGGTTTAATTCCTGGGTTAATACTTCAATCTTTCAGATATAACTGGTCTTAGGTTTTGAGTCTCTGATGACTCTGAGGAGAGCTCATTTTCATTATACCAGGAAGGACAACTGATTAAATCAATCATAACATCTTAGCCCAAGTGATACAATCAGCAACAGAATAGCATCAAGCACAGCTTAGAAAATGACAATTTGTGGTAATTATGAATCTATCACCTTTAGCTGTGTGAATTAAATCAAAATCGAGGACCAGCCCAAAATATGTTTATAGTGAATAAACTCTACAATATAGCAACTTTACCCTTCAGGATGGGGACATAGAAGGAGTTGGGGAGGGAGGGATAGATAGGATAGAGAAAGGTTAGAAGTGAGGTCAGAGAACACAGGAAGATCACACAAACTCTAGGAAGCTGTTAGAGAGAAGAGGAGAAGACAGAACAAAATATACACAAGAACAGAACAAATTAATAGGAATAGGAAGGCTAGAGACTGTAATCACTTTATTTTAAAACTAATGGCAATTGAGAGAAGGAAAAAGAAGAAAAAAGAAAAAATAAATTTGAAGTAGGATAGGAACAGGAACAAAAAAGAAATGAAGATCAAGGTGGGGGGAGAAAGAAAAAAGTAAGAAAAAAGATAAAAAAGGAAAAGAATATAAAAATGTTTTAATGATTAAAAATGAGAGGGCCAGGGATTTAGCTCAGCAGTTTGGTGGCCTGCCTCGTAAGCGCAAGGACCTGAGTTCGATCCCCAGTACCACAAAAAAAAAAGAGAGAGAGAGAGAAAAATATTACTTTGAAAATAAAAATTAGAAATAGAAGGCCTCCTTCAGGGTATGCCTCTGTCAACACAATAGACAGCGTGGGCAGGAGTCTGCAGGTCTAAGCTAATTAGCCTCAGCAAGCCAGTAGCTGTCCCCTGAGGTTCAGGCTGATTTCTGGCTGCAAGGTCCAAGTTGAGATTTCTGATCTTCTCCTGGGTTGAACTCTGCAAGGTTCTTCTGCAGGTTCCAGCTGCCCTTCCCCTGAAGTTAGACCAGGTTCTGATGTGAGGTGCTGCTCCCTCCAACTTACCAACCATGGTGGCATGGGGTGTCTTTATCTCAGATTTTCTTCACTTTTCCAGTGGGCTTCAGTTTTCATCTAGGAGCCTCAGAGAGGCCTGCTTTCTTTTGTTGAGGGTGGGGGGCTCTGTTGTGCTTCATTGAAGGAGCGGGCCTACCAGAGGGTCACAAGCTGCTGCCCCTGATTAGCAACGTTAATTTTACTTGGGATCTTAATCACCTTTGCAGAGCAGCATATTCATAGGTTCTGGGGACTCAGGAGTGGATATCTTTGGAAGCAGGACATTATCCTATCTGTCATAGTTACTTTAAAATCATGTCAGGAGCGGAGGCTGTGCTAGGTGGCAGAGTACTTGCATGGCATATGTAAGGCCCTGGATTTGATCCCTAGTACCATAAAATATAAAATAATAAAATTTTTGTCAAGTAGTTCCAAAATCTGTATTATCTCAGTATTGGTATCTATTGATTGCCTTTCCTCATTCAACCTGAGATTATCCTGGTTCTGGCTATAGCATGTGGTTTTCAGTTATACCTTGGACACTTGGAGTATGATGTTATAAGACTGTGGATCTTACTTCTGTCTTGCATTAGCAGCATCCTCTGATACTGTGCCAGCAGAGGAAAGAGGGTGTCACTTCCCTGGGTGTCCATTGACCTCTGCTGGCCCCAGCTCACCTCTTGGCCTGGGTCTCTCACTACAGTCAGGCCAGAGTGCAGCCCGGACCCCCACTGGCCTCTGCTGAGGAGGAGTGGGAGGGATCTCTGTGTTGTTTGGCTGCAGTAGGGTGGACGTTGTCTGAAGTGTTCTGTCTTATGAGGTCACCCCTTTCCTGGAACTTTGGCTAGAGAAAGAGGATTTTTTTTTTTTCTTGGTATCTTTTTGATCTGCTCTTAGTCTGTTTTCAGTTGCTATAACAAAATATCTGAGACTGAATAATATATAAATAGAAATTTGTTGGGCTGGGGATATAGCTCAGTGGCACTGTACCTGCCTGACCAGTGCAAGGTCCTGAGTTCAGTCCCCAGTACAGAAAAGAAAAAAAAAAAAAAGGTGGTTTGGCTCATGGTTCTGGGAAGCTCAAGAGCATGGCACAGCAACTGCTCACATCTCCTCAGGGCCTCATACTGCAGAGTAAAATGGGGGAGGGCACCGCTGTGCAAGATGGGGTGACATGTGTCAGCTCAGATCTCTCTTCCTCTCAGTATAACACTGGTAAATGCAGCCTGCCATGGTAGCATGCCTGTAATATCAGGAGGCTGAGGCAGGAGGATCACCATGAGTTTGAGGCCAGTCTGAACTACATCCAGAGACCCTGTCTCAAAAAAACCCAAACCCTTGATGCCCCTAGTGCATGATGAAGGCTCCACCCTGATGGTCTGCTCTTATCCTGATCACTTCCCAAAGGTACCACTGCCAAATACCATCAACCTGCAGATTTGGGAATTGAGTTTTCAGTACACGGAATTTAGGGCCCACACTCAAGCCTCTTTGGCATTTCTGGGTCACACCCTCCTGCAGGACTCAGGTGGGATGTTTCAGACAGAAAGAAGCCCAGGACGCTCTACTAGTGTCATTTGGCTCTCAAGGTCTCTAGCAAACCTGTCTTCTCCCCACCTTCCAGAGGTTTCTGGCTACACTTGGTGGGAAGAATAGGGAGAAATGTATACTTCCTCTTGTCCCAGGGTCAGCAGTGTAGCCTTTTTGTTTTATTTTATTTTGTTTTTTGAGACAGAGTCTCACTGTGTAGTTCTGGGTGGTCTTGAACTCACTTTGTAGCCCAGGCTGGCCTTGAACTCATGGTGATCCTCCCGCCTCAGCTTCCTGAATGCTGGGATTATACGCATGTGCCACCACACCCAGGCATATTGGCCTTTTTTTGTAAAGGACAACAGTGGTTGTCTTGTGGAATGATAACTGCTGAGGACCACAGGTGCAGTGGGAACACTGCTACTGGAGGCCGCCCCAGGGTGCTGGAGCCAGGCTCATGCAGTCCCACGGTGCTGGCCACTGGAGCGTGGCAGGAAGGACCTGTATGTCTCATGCTTCTCTGACCCAGGGAGTGGCCACTGTCCAGACAGCTTGGCACACCAGTCCCTGGGCTCAGTGGAGTGGGACTTGGGACGCCCAGCTCACAAGTATAACCGGGGCATCTGTTACAGGAGTGAATCCAGCTACGGACCTGAGAGGGGCAGGCTTCCTTGCCCTCCTGCACCTGCTGTACCTGGTGATGGACTCAAAGACCTTGTTGCTGGCCCAGGAGATTTTCTGCCTGTCTCGTCACCATATCCAGGTGGGCTTTGGAGGGAAGTGGAGGACAGGGTGTGGTACAAGAACCTGCTGCCAGGCGGACCTCACAGCTCCACATCTCCGGTTGCTGAGGGCATTCGGAAGGTGGCGGCCAACCAGGAAGGGGCTTCCCTGTCAGCCTGGCCTGTGCTGGGACCTGAGCTCCACCTCTGATAGCTGTGGCCTTAGCAGCTGAGAGCCCTAGTATCCCTGTCTGCAGATGGAAGTCATGAGACTTAGGTGGCTCATTGGGAAAATCAAATGGAATAATGTACAAGCAGTGAGACTGCTCCTTCCCCTGTCTGCTCTCCCCAGTGACATCCTTGATGGTGTTGGTAGCTTCTCCTGACCCTGAGTGGAGAGCTGGCCTTCAGGTGTCCTGGGGACTCATTGATGGGCCATAGTGGCCTTGGTGGCCTCTTGCTCTCTATCCAGTCCTGCATTCTTGGGAGAGGGCTAATGGTTTCCCCAAGGAGTAAGGGGTAGTGGCCAGCTGACCTGCTTCCTTCCATGTGTCCATCCGGATTCATGGGACCTGGAGTTCATTCACTTGTTGCTGAGTGAAGGCTGACTCAGCATCCCCCATGCCTGGTCCTTAGGGCTCTCGGGGTTCAACAGTGCACAACCCAGACCAAGATCCTCTAGCAGAGACAGAGGACAGACTCTTCTTTGGCTTTACAGGAAGAAGACATTGACCTGTCGGTTACAGAGGATGTTAGGTGTGAGTGTGAGGGGGAAGGGCATGCAGGAGAAGAGGCGGGAAGGGCATGGCGGTATTTCATGGGGATCTGCAGAGCCCCCATGAGACACGAGCCAGGCCTTGGAGGACGGAGACTGTTGTCCAAGCTGCCTTTGGGGAAGAACATTTTAGGCAGCAGGAGAAGCCAGAGCAAAGGATGGTGTCCGCCTCATGCCAGGGATGGCAGGGACACCAGTAGTATTGGAGAGAACACAGAGGGCACAGTAGAGGCCACAGAGGCAGCCAGCTGGGTGATGACAGCCTTGCAGGCCACAAGGACTGTGGGTTGTACACTGAGTCAAAGGGGGAGCCATTGCTTCCTTTTTTTTTTTAATACTAGGAATCAAACCCAGGGCCTTTGCACTGAACTGCTTTTTTTGTTTTGTTTTGTTTTGTTTTTTGAGACAGGGTCTCACTATGTAGTTGAGTCTGAACTGCAACTCACTATGCACTATGTAGCCCAGGCTGGTCTCGAACTCACAGTGATCCTCCTGTCTCAGCCTTCTGAGTGCTGGGATTATAGGCATGGGCCACCACACCGGGCTGAGATACAGTCTTGCTGAATCACTAAACTGCCCAGTTGGACTTGAACTTGCCATCTTCCTGCCTCAGCCTCCCAGAGTGCTGGGATTACAGATCTGTACCATCATGCCCAGCTCAGCTCAAAATTTTTTCAGCCCTGTGGACCTAATACAGGGCCTCCTGTGTGGTAGGCAAACTCTCAGCCATTGAGCTGCATCCCTATCCCTTTTTATGAGGGGTATTGCCTCATAAAGACAAGATCTTTCTAAGAGAGATTGTCTTGTTAAGAGACAGGGTCTCATTAAGTTGCTCAGGCTGGCCTCAAACTTGCAGTCCTCCTGCCTCAGTCTCCCTGGTAGCTGGAATTTCACGTGTTTGCCACCATGCTGGGGAGGGCTCTCACAATGATCCAAATTTGAGGCGACAGTGGTTTGGAGCAGTATTTTCAGAGGCAGTGATGTGAAGTGGTCAGATTCTGGCTGCTGAGTCTTGAATGTACAAGCTTAAGAGAATAGAGCCAGCATGTTTTTCTGATGGAGTAGATATGGATTTGGGACAAGGAAAGAAGTTAATGATTTTTTAATCTGAGCAACTGGAATGGTAGAGTTGCCATCAGTTGGTAAGAAAGAGCAAGTTGGGGGTTCAGTTCTGACAAATGTGTTTAGAGGGCTTCAGATGTGTAAGTGGAGAGGTCAATAAGTAGTTGGTTCTGTGCGTATGGAAGGGGGGAAGTTCTAGGCTAGGGATTAAAATTAGGGAACCGCCTGAACATACAGATCTGAGGATGCTGTCTCCAGGCCAGCAGCATCAGCCCCTGGGAACAGCTGGTTAGGAATGCACATCTGGCAAGGTGTGGTGGTGCTTGCCTGTAATCCTGCCTTCCAGGGAGGCTGAGGCATGAGGACTGCAAGTTTGAGGCTAGTCTGGGGCCTCAGGACCCTCTCTCGGGTGGGGTGCTTGGCTGGGAGGACTCACAAGACACTGCATATGTGACTTGCACAGCTCCAAGTTAGCACAGTGCAGGCAGAGCCGGCGAGGGATGCTGTGTTCAGGACCAAGTCCGCAGGAAGCCAGGTGCTAATTTCCGAGCAGCCTCTCCCATGGAAGTCAGCAGCCGTGCATTTATGTTCCTGTTTGTCACTCACACGATGCTGCCCCTTCTCCTGAGTTCTGTGTAGAATGGAAAGCACAGTACAGTATTTCTCCAGCATCAAATTGGGTGCCATGTGCAAAGTGTTGCCAGCCAGGGAAGGTCACTGGGGACTCGGGGCCCAAGATTTCCCTGGGACCTGTCATGGAGACTGTCTCCCTAGCGTGGACCCAAATTCCAGAATTGGGATAAGCAGGTGTTCAGCACAAACCTTGTCCACAGGCAGTTCAGGAACAGTGAGCCATCCTTATCTCAAAATTCAAGTTCTCAGGCCAGGGGTGGTGGTGCACACCTGTAATCCCAGCACTCTGGGAGGCTGAGGCAGGAGGATCTCGAGTTTGAGCCCAATCTGTGGGACTTTAGGGGTCAGGATGTTCAAGGATTGGAAAACCTGCTCAGGGCTGTGGACACAGGCTATGGAGCAGAGAACCTCAGATGGATTCTTCAGTCCGTGCCTCAGGAAAGCTACTTAAGAGCTCACTTCCTCATCTGTGAGAGGGTAGGACATTTTTTGGGAAACTATAAGCACCAAGATATTGGCACTGCCCGCACAGCCATGATTGTCTGGGTCTTGTCAGGCTCCTGATGACAGAAAGCACAGGGAGAGCAGGGCAGCCACTGACCTGCTACCCCTCCCTTCCAGCAATTCCCTTTCTGCCTGATGTCTGTGAACATCACGCGCGTGGCCATCCAGGCTTTGAGGGAGGAGTGTCTCTCCAGGTGAGTCCCAGTGGGTCCCAGCCCTGCCTCATTCTCTGCTGCCCTGTTCCTACCCTGCGGGCTCCCTCGGGCCTGGGAAATGTCCCAGGTTGTCTCCCGGCCCCTCTCTCCTCCCGATCCTGACCCAGCTTTGCGGCTGCCTGGGCCATGATGGGGTCTCCTGGGCTGGGGCTGGCTTTCCTGGTGTCTGGGGCAGGGCAGGAGGGCACTGGGCACAGCCTTTGTGGCCCGCAGGGAGTGTAACCGGCAGCAGGTGGTCATCCCCGTGGTTAACAGCTTCTATGCGGCCATGTTCCTCCGCCTCGCGCACGTCTGGAGGACCCAGCAGAAGACCATCTCTGACGCAGGTTTTGTCCTCAAAGGTTCGTTCAGCCCCTGAGTGCCTGTGTCCTAGGCCCAGAGACAGCAGTTCCCTCTTCTGGCCGCCGTCCACCAGCCTCTCCTGCCAGCCTGCCAGTCCCTCTCCCCTCCCTGGCTGTGCACCTGTGGCAAGCACATTTGCTGACCGCCTGGACACCGGCTCCAGCAGCTGGGTGGGCGCTTCAGAGCTGAGGTTGGCCCACACAGGGGATGTGGTCCCCGGGCTCTTCTGGTGCCTTGTCCTCCCCTGGTGCTCTCTCCATCCTCGGTGACTTGTGCCTTTGTTGCCCCTCAGTAGTGGTTGGGGGCCTCGTTGGAGCTGTGGGCTTGAGGCCCTGGCTGCTGTGCAAAGCTCCTTAAGCCTTGCTCCCCATCCTCTGTTCCAGACTTGGAAGTGTGGGCCAAGAAGAACCCCCGGCGGTTGCTCAAGACCCTGGAGATGTACCTGGCGCAGGTGTCAAAAGGACAGGCCTCTTTGCTGAGGCCACAGAAGTCCCCTCCCACCAGGGACCTCAGCTTCACAGGCGTGTGTGACCTGCAGCCTCATGCATCCAAAGGCTCGGGGCCGATCTGACCAACCCCAGGACCCAAACGCTGGGCTACGGGGGCTTTGGGAGGGTGTGTGGCAAACCGTGTCCCACACACCCTGACAGGCTGGCCGCCTCCTGCCTCAGGCAGCTGAGATGAGGACATGGCTGGGCTTGGCTGAAGAAATACCCTCCGCGCTTGGGCACTTGGGCCTGAGCCCTCCACACAGGCTCTCTAGAGCAGGGATTATCTTACTGCTGAGTGACTCCAGTATCCTGTCCGGCTCCAGCCCAGGGATCTTAGAGGGAGTGGGTGGGTTGAGAGGGGCGGCCCTCTCTGGACACTCACACAGCCCACCCAGAAGGAGATTCCCAGGTGGAAGCAGCCAGGATCCCGACTTCCCAGCAATACCGTCATCTTCAGCTATGGTTGAAATTTGAAGGGGAAAAGGTAACAACGGCTGCAGCCAGCAGGGGGCAGTACAGCCCCTGGGTCGCCACTGGCCTTCTGGCCAGACGCTGGCCCCACCACTTCTCCCCTAGTCCCTGTGTGTTTCAGGGTGTGGACATGGGCACTGGGCTAGGTGACCCCCACCACTGCCCCATCCTAGCCACCCATAGCTGCGGCTTCTGCTGTGGAGGCTGCCGGGTCCCTAAGGACGTCCTCCAGCCTGGTCAAAGGAAGGAGGAAATGCTCTGCACATCAGCAATTTTAGAATAAAGGAATTGTAGTGTAGGTGTCCGGAATGGTGTCTTTTGTCCTGGAACCCAGTTCTCCGGTTATTGGCCCCTGCTCACATTCTCAGGAGGGACGAGGTGGCCCTGGCTCTTGGCTGGTGTGGCGTCCACGCAGGGTTTTCCCACGTGACTTCTGGACACGCCGGACCTCGCCGTCCCCCTCACCGGGTCCCCCTCACTGTCACTCTAGTGCACGAGGGAACAGCCCACTCCTGTCTGCAGGGTGGGTGCATCTGGTCACAGCCCCTTCAGGTTACTTCCTGTCATCTCTGCCAAGTGTGAACTCAGGCTCCCTGGCCCTGGCTTCCTCCCTCCCGAACCCTAACTGAGCAGCGAAGACAGGGTTGGCACCTAAGCACAGAGGGCTGAGGGCCCACAAGAAACCTGCGGCCCAGCTTCACTCCTGCGCGGTGCCAGGTTGGAGACAGCGCGACTGTGTCGTCTTCCTTTCCCTGCTCTGAGCCCACAAGCTTCGCACAGCTGAGCCAGCTGTGTGCAGGGGGTGGGGTGGAGGTGGTCTCTGTGAGGGCAGTGGCCCTGGGGGACGCTTTCTACACCACAGTGCTCACAGCTTCAGAACAGCGTCAGCGGTGACACAGTTGTGGTTCTGCTGAGACTGGCACTGGGAGGCAGGGGACAAACTCTGAAAGTAGATGAAAAAGCAGAAGCTGAGGCAGGAGGGTCACAACTTGAGTCCAGTCTGGAAAACCCAGCAATTTAGCAAGTCCCTGCCTCAGAAATAAGAAAATACAAAAAGGGATGGGGAGGATCAGGGATTTAGCGCAATGGTTCCACCACCTGCCTCGAAAGTACAAGGACCCAAGTTTGATCTCTGGCACCAAAAAAAAAAAAAAGAAAGAAAGAAAACCAAAAAGGGGGGGGGGCTGGGCGTGGTGGCGCACTCCTGTAATCCCAGCACTCGGGAGGCTGAGGCAGGAGGATCGCTGTGAGTTCGAGACCAGCCTGGGCTACATAGTGAGTTCCAGGTCAGTCTCAACTACATAGTGAGACCCTGTCTCCAGGAAAAACAAAAAGATGTTTAAATGTTTAAAATCTTACTACTGTAAAAGACACAGTGCCATTAACCCCTTCACAATGCCCCTTGCTTTGATCACACTTTCTGAAGCACTTTTTTTTTTTTTTTTTTGAAGT